TTAAAGAACTGCAAGCAGGGATGTACAATAAAACGCTCCTTATTCACCCCCAAAATGTGAAAAAGTAGTTACTTTTCAGAAAACTATAGTGCCTCGCAAAAGTGTGTGCCATTAACTTTTATTTTATTGGTAATTTTTCCTGAAATAAACACAAAGTGGAGTATAATTGTAAAGAAAATGTCTGACAAGACCTGCACTCCTTAGTACACAGAAAAATGTTAGTTTTTAGGCTAGATTTAAAGGAAGTCAGTGTTGCAGCTATTTTGCAGGTTTCTGGAAGTTTGTTCCAGATTTGAATGCTGCATCTCCATGTTTGGTTCTGGTTCTTGGGATGCAGAGCAGAACCAGAACCAGAAGACCCGCAGGGTTGACACAACAACAACAACAACAGCAGAAGCAGATATTTAATGTATTGCGGTTTATAAACTACCAACAGTATTTTAAAGTCCATTCTCTGAGCTGAACAGAAACGAAACAGTTTAAGGATGTTAGAACTGGTGTGATGTGCTCAGTTTCCTTGGTTTTAGTCAGAACCCGACCAGCAGAGTTCTGGCTCTGAATTCTTCTTTTACTTTAGACAGGCATGATCGCTAGTTTTCAGTTGTAATAACTGATGCCGTGCATCAGTTACTCCAGACCGTTCCTCTTTAGGAGAAGTTTGTGGCACATCCACATATTTTAAGCATCTGTTCAGTGATTGGCCGGGTTCAGACTCACCTGGTGACATTGTGATGCCCAAATATGGAAGCAATGTCAGTATTTCCACTCCCAGCAGGAGCCGTGGATACTTCTGAGGAACAAATATCTAACACAGTGAGGAACAATGTACATTTGTACAATTCTTCACTAAATAACTATCATATTAATGAGACAGGTGAATGATTAATAATTCTTGCACATGACGAAACCGTGTGACTGCATGTTCAAATAAAGTATGTAGGAGCCTTTAAGAATCTTTTCTGTCCTAATGAAGAAATATATTGTCCTCACGTACAACCCCAGGCTCATAGATGACTGCAAGAACAAGATCATGGATTCAAGAGACCAAAGTGAGTTTCTGGGTTCTGGGTCGGCTTTTGGACACCTTGCACCGGGAGGAAAACCAGGACACGATCGGCTGGCCCTGGAACGCCTTGGGATTCCCCCCCGGAGAAGCCGGGCCGAGCGGCTGGAGGTCGCTGCCTCCTCAGTTTAAAAAAAGGAGTCCATTAGAAGATTTTAAACAGCGGTGGAGGTTCAAGGACCCCGAACATACAGCCAGAGCCGCAGAGGAACGGCTTAGATCAAATTAGCGCCTCGTGTTAGAACGGCCCAATCGAAGTCGCTAATTAAATTGAGAGTCTGTTCCAGAAGCAGAAAATTGCTTTTCATAGACATTTTCTATTCATCCTGACTGACCTCAAGCTATTTTGCACAGATCTGTATTCTATAGAAGTTCGAAGCTGTTAAAAACAAGCCTCCAAAGAGAGGGAGCGAAAGTGAGTCCTTGTTTTCAGCGCCATTCAGATTTTGAGTAATTAAGAGACTTTTAAGGACAATGGACTGGCTGACTGGATTGTTTAGAGGTATCAAAACAAAATATGTTGAATATAAATGCACACAATTGTTTATGTTTATGGAAAGTATTTAAAAAATATTCTTTTTTTTGTTTTGCACCACTGACTCATGGACTTGGAAGACAAAGAAAGAAAAGAACGTTTCAGCAATCGCATGTAAAATACTTAATAAATCGTCTCCAAAAAATTTAAATAACACATTTTTCATCATTTCTTTTTTTCTGCCTTTACAGATTTGTGCTCTTCAACTTTTGTGTCTATTTTTTGCGTGCGTCTGCTCAGAGCACAACCCGAAACGTTGCTGCGATTTGCTCTCACGCAGATTGTCTTCTGTCTGACAATTTGTGCCGCAGAGTTTTCCTCGCTCACTTCTTACCTGAGAGGGAGATGAAGGGCTGCTAGAAGACTCCTCGGCCCATTTGATGACGCCTAAATCAAAGTTCTGCTCAGGGCGCGTTCGTCAAAGAGGTGTACTTCAACGCCGACAACAATCTCAGCTTCAGCAGTGAAAAGCTGAGCCAGGGACAGTTGGGAGCATATTCGAAAAGCTTTTGAGACTGCTTAAGTTGAGCGTTTGTGTTGCTAAATCAATAAGGACTTGTTGCCGTGTCACAGTGCGGTTAAAAACACTCAGGAAGTGAGCTGAGTGCCGCTCCGTCTGTTTTGGAGTGCAGAACGGTTTGAGGCTTGTGAGCTCTTGAATGAGGGGAAAATGTCAAAATGTTGCACTAATTTGCAACAACATTTTAACAAGCGTGACATGTCCTGTGGGGAAATCCCTGACATTTAGATGTGCCAGGGTTGCTCACCCGTCAAGATGCATAATTGACTCTTTCTCCTGAATTTATTATGTTCTGGAGGAAAATTAGTTCCTGAAATCAATCCATTGTATGCGGCTTATGGAGATGATGCTGTACATAAATTACCTGTTCTGTCTGCTTATCGATTTACTTGGAAAGTTCCTTTGTGTTTCAATTGTAAAATCTTTTGTTTGTGTTGTTGGCACTTCTGTCAACAGCTCTTCAGATCTCCGGGTCACTTTCATTCAACATCGACAGCCTCATTTCAACAAGAGCTTCAACTTTTATATTTTTCCGTTGTCTCCACATAAACACAGCTTTTTACAAAAGTGAAGAGTTTACATGTTTTCCAGCTCAATGCAGACAAAACAGATGCCATTGGTTTATGTAATGAGAAACATAAAGTTTCAGGTTTATCTAGTGAGGTTTGTCTTTGTACTTCCATTTGGTTTTCTATTGCTTCTAAAAACAGCCAGAGTGCTTAAAGAAAAGCCCGCCCAGCTGTTTTTTTTGGCGTTAAGTTTATAATTTTTTTGGTGTCTGGAAAAACGACCTCATTTCAAAAACTTCCTAAATGTGGCATCACATGTCAGCAGGCACTTCCCCTCACCAAGTAAGTCCAGGAAAGCCAAAACCAAAACCCAAATTGAGCTCCGGTTTTACTGCTGCATGCGCTCTACAATGGCTGCTGGAGAAGACAAGTGTTTTCTTAGTTGTGCAGGAGGCTCCACTTTAGCTTTTCAAAGATGCACAGTTGTATAATTGTGCATCTGTTTGCAGCCATTTTCACGTGCGAGTGTAAACGTTGAGTTTGAGGGGGAGGGAGTGTGACCAGCAGCAGCTTATTTAGATTTAAAGTGACCTAAAACAGATCAACAAAGGCAGAACAGACTAGATTAAAATCTCATTATCTAAGAATGATTTAGCTTTGAGTAGCCCATTTGTTCAAGGAAGACTTTCCCACGGCACTCTGCAGTATTTAAACCATTCAGATCTGGTTATTCTGTTTGAACTGCCGCTGCCCTGCTGCCTGGCAGAGTGAAGATTTGATCTGATCGTCTTTTTGCCCATTGCCCTCTGCGCTGATCTACTGTTTTGCTCCTGACATCTTCTGAGGTCACATTTTGACCTTTGGTCCTCCTTTCAGTTGGAGGATCGGCTGGAATGGGAGAAAATTGGTTTTGCAGACGGGCGTGCTTATTTTAGGCAATGAGTTGAGGTCAGGATTATCTGCAGCTGACTGATTTATTTACCACATGGACATAAAACCCAAACTCTCTCCAAATTGTAGCGGATCAAGTAATTATTTCCCCGATGCATTTCATTATATCTGTTGCATTCAGCTGCTTGCGGTCCATTTTTTCCCAAAACATTCAATAGGTCTGGCGCGGTGACAATACGTGTCTCGTTATGAAACTGTCATGGGTGAAAAATTAATTGCGAGAGTAGAGAAGAGCAGCATTATTAAAAATTAGAGAAAAAAGGTCAGAGCAGGCAGCATGAATGTGGGATTGTTCAGAGTGAGTGAGGGAAAGCTGAAGCTTTGTCAGTAAAAACAGACAATGCTTTCTGTTTTTATGCCTCTTGCACTTTTCACACAGTTTCACGCCGCAGTTTTAATGGATTTTATGAGGTTTTTGTGACACACAGAAAATGGACGGCACATATTTGAGAAGAGAAAGAAAAATGATACAAATGCATATCCACCCCACTTTAACCTGAAAAACAGAAGTATGTTAAACAGAAAATAATGTCCAATAATCACTATATTTTGTTAGGAAATTGACATTTTATCACAAAAACGAATATATCTTACGTCTAAATTGTTTAGTGTATCTTAAAGTTAGTAAAGTTTTACTGTAGCTTCTTATGTGGCCTCAACATTCACACAAAATCAATAGATTTTCCTCCCAATTTTTCTCAAATTTGATCAAAATCACAGGGTTTAATTGACCGTAACCTCAGCCTCTGTGGCAGACACATCGATTAATGAAAAGTCACATTTAGCATCACACATTAGCATAAAAATACCTTATAAATATTCCTAAATTAGCACCACAAAATCTGTGATTTTGATTGAAAATACACACTTATTGAAAGCTGAAACAAGCAAGTTTAACAGGTTTTATTAATTAATTCTGGCACAACCGGCCCATAGTACCATGACTCAGTAGTACCAAAAGCTTCACCAATCTACAGTTGGACGTTTGAAGAAGTGATAAACTCAACAAAATTTTCTTTATTTTGACTTTGGAAACTTGTAAAGTTATGAATAAATGTCCAACTTCTTGATGGTTGCGTTTCGTTTTGCGCTGGTCTCACCAGTAAATCCCACAGCCTATGCTTTTGGAGATGCTGGGTCATTCTGTAACTTCTGTAGCTTCTCCCATTCCAGCTGTTCTGATCAGATACGACGTCGTGCAACTGCAATTTAATCCACAGCTTCCTCTTACATCCTGCCAGGATGTCGGACCACATGGGAGTTTATCAGCCACTTAATTGCTTATCCTTATTTGCATTGCTGGCGCTGTCACAGGCCCACTGTGCTGTTATCAAATCACCTGGAACTGCAATTAATTTCACACGGTAACCACCAGCTGCGCGGCGTTGATGTTCTTCTTTCTCTCCTTCCTGTTCTCTGCAGAACGAGTACACGTGTCCACGCCCCCTGCCTGGTGCCTGGCTGGGAGATGTGCCTACGATCCATTAACTCTCAGAGAAAGGACTGTTGGAGATGATGCAACAGATCGCGGCCCGTCCCGCCAGGATTCCTCTCTCATCCTCGCTCAGATTGGAGGAGGCGCTTCAATTGTCCTCCATGCAAACGGATTCAAGGCAACAATCGATCCAGCGGAAAAAGAGGAGATGACGTGCCGGCTTCTCTTTTTTTTAAAGATTTTATAACGTCTTTTTTTTTTAATGATCATTTGGTCTTTGGCATTTCTCATGACGCTCACCTCACAAACACACGCACTGATGGTCGAGAGGTCCTGTCGTGCAGACTAATGAGAGCCAAGGAACGGATGCAATAAAGATGGCCGCCCACTGCAGGGACCATGATGGCTTATTGTCTCCTCTTCATGGCGTCGTGCAAAAAGGACAAGCTGTTCCTACGACACAGGGGTGTGTAATTTAAAATGGGTTGCCATGTTTTCAACTCCTGTGAAGCATCATTATATAATCTTTCAGTACATTTTTGAAATAAAAGAAGGAAAGAAATAAAAGAAAGACCAATCATGAGCTGCGACGGTTCCTCACAGAAAGTACGAAAAGAGGAATCTGCTTCGGTTGTTTAAAAGTATTTTGTTTTGTTCGGAGAGTATTTTTTATTCTTTCCAAATAAAATGAAATTTCAAGGATAACTTTTAATAAGGGAGACAAAACAACAAAACAAAAAAGAAAAACAGAAATGAGGACAGATGCTCCAATCAAGGACAAACTGCTAATGTTGTGTTTTTCTTTTCTTTATTTTTATTTTTAAAGAAAAAAATGTGTGTTTGAGCAACAGATACCAAAGAGCCAAATGAACCCTCCTTTACTTTTGGCTCAGCTTCACATACAGGCGCATCTCAATACATTTCTGTATCAAACAAAACATTGATTTACTTCAGTGAAACTGGAGCTTTAGCTTCAGAAAGCCGTTTATTTCTGTTGGTTGTGATGATTACAGCAAATTTACACGAGACACAAACAGTTTCTCAAAAAGTTAAAGAGAAAAATGTATTTAAAACGGAAATGCCATGAAATTAGACTTGGCAAACATCCTCCTTGAATCTGAGCAAATTAAAGTTTAATGGAAGGAAATACTGCAGTAGAAAAAGTCCCCAAAGCATTTAAGTGTATAAAATTTAATTAGTTTATTTGCTCATATGTAATTTATTTCTTAAAATATAAATATTTAATTAAATATTTTAATTGAATTTATCTTTTAGATAGTTAGATTTATGAAAACAAACAAAACATAATCCTCCCAAGAAAGTGGTTCTCCATTTTGTTTGTGCAATTTCTTTTCCCCCACTGCATGTTTTCCTTCCACTAAACTTTCCCCCAATATGCTTAGATACATGTCTCTGAGCGGCCATTTTCATATATGACAAACTGAGGCTTATCTTCTGTCTTTAGACATTTTCTGTAATGAGTTCAAATTGAATTAGTCATAAGGCTTGTTTATCAAAATCAGCAGAAATAAAAGCTCGAAATATGTCTCAAGCAGCATTACTAAAATAAACAAACTTTAAATACGATGCACCTATAGTTCACCACAAATCTGGTATTTGTTTTCTTTACAGATTAAATATTTAAAAAGCCTCAAATCCCCTTTTCTTTCTTTTTCTCTCCCCTTTTTTCTTTCCATCATGTGTGCAACGTGTGTGTCTTTGTGAATAAACGACCTTGCAGCGGCAGGAAGATCTTGTCGGAAAGAAAACTCTCAGCACTGCTTTACATCGTAAAACTTTTCTTAAACCAGAATAAAAAAATTAAAAAAAAATCCTGCTTTCTTCAGAAACAATCACCCTGCTCTCCCTTAAACAGACTGTAATGTTGCTGTGCACGGTTCTGCGTGGGCTTGTGTTTCTCTTTATTTCTTTGGTTTTTATTGTATTTGAAACCCACTGAGTTGTGGATTGTTTTAACCTGTAACTCTTTCTACACAAGAATAATAATACTTTTTTAATGTAAATCTCTACTTCTTCTTCTTCTTCTCTCCCCATTTGGATTTGTTGCGGTATTCTTTGTTCACTTTCAACAGTATGTTTTATAATTAAACTGATGACTTTACTGGTGAGCAATAGTAGTTGGTCAAATTAAAAAAGCCTCCATTGACCCTCTTGTGTGTCAAAGATCTGCACGTCTCTGTTCTCCGTGACTTTCTCTCTCTCTCCTTCTTTCTCTCGTCGGGTTTTCCACGCAGCTCTCCCATGAAGAGGCTGTCAAATCCACATTAGCCTCATTAATTTAGAGAGCAGAGCATTGATCTCTGTTCGAGCGCTCTGTTCGCGGCGGGCCCCTCTAATTACGCTCCCCGTGTTCCGTGTTGCGGGTCGCGGTCGGGAGCCGCACTCGGATCGTTTGCTCCATGTTTGCTGTTCTTGGAACACGTCAGGCTGTCGGCTCGCGGGTCCAGACGGCCGATCTGTCCGGCGCCCTCTCCCTCTTTGCACCCACAGTGCATTGCGAAAGTATTCACACCTTTTGGGTTTAAGCCACGACGTTCACGCGCTTTTCCAACAATACATGTCAGAGTACGACACATAAAATGACAAGAATGTCCTAAAAACTATGAGAATAAATTCAAAATATCCAAATAATGTCATAGTATCGCAAAAACAAACTCGTACAGAAATAAACCAGTTTTATGAAAATAAAGTTGTACAAGAATAAAGTCAAATTATGAGAGTAAAGTCGTATGAATAGTCGAAATGACAATAAAGTGGTAGTATTAAGTTTTGCAAGCATGAAGTCAAAATAATACAAAAGTGTTGATGTTACAAAATAGTCATATAAACAGTCAAAAAAAGAGAAAATAACATATTTGCAAGAATAAAGTAGAATGTTGCAGTGTTACAAAAATAAAGTAACACAAGAACAAGGTTGTAGCATTATGAGAATAAAGTTGCACAAGAATAAAGTGGAAAAAATGCAAGAAAGTTGTGACAAGAATGAAGTCATGAATAATCAAAAGTCATACAAACAACTATTTTTACGAAATATGAGAATAACATATTATGACTTTACTTTGATATTATTTCAACTTTATTCCTGTATAACTTTGACTTTATTCTCGTAATTACATTTTTGTTTTCAAAACCAAAAAGGCGTTTGTGAAGTGGAAGGAAAATAAGATGTGAAAAGTTAATCCTCCTTTACTCTATTACCTCAGAATAAAACATTTTCAATACATCATCTGAAAACAGAAACACATTGCAACTTTGAGTTGATTCATTGCATAAAATACGCAAAAGTTTGTGCTTGTGATGTGAACAACGGAAAAAAAATATAGTTTCCTCTTGAGTTTCTTAATTTCATAAAATCATTTCTCTCTGCTCTTGCCTCTCCCCATCAGAGAGAGGCTCATAGACGCTACTGAAGAGCATCTGCCATGATTTGCCATCAACCTGATCAAATGGCTGCACTTTTAGACTCAGATGGCGATAAAATCCTGGACATTTTCTATGAAAAGTGTAATAAAAGTACATTTTATTGCAGGTCTGTCAAGACTGCAGGAGTTGCAGCTGAAAGTACTTTAAAAAGCCAGACACAAGCTTAATGTTTGTGTCAAGGTTATAAAGTTCTGCTCCCCCACTGGAACAACACCATAAATGGATTTCTCTGACTATTGCTGCAAAGTGCTTTGATAGAAATTCAGCTCAGTTGAAAATTTGTGACCCTGAAGTAAAAAGTAATGCTGAATGATTCAGTTTTTTTTTTTTTTTTACACACGTCATAAAAATTCAGCGACTGAGCATAATAGTCATCATTTTACGATAATAATCATAAAAATAACAGCAAATTTACATAAAATTATAGAAAAAGCTGCAGATCCCGGTACATGACGGTCGCCTTGAGATTAGCTTAGCCACAAAGCGTACAGAGCTCCATTACTGACAAACTGCATCCATAAAAATCGAAATGTGAAAGTTTACACAGGAATAACGAACGCCTCTGGGATGAAAGAGTGTCCAACATCAGCGACTGACCTCATGAATGTGCTCCAGGAAAAATGAGTCATTTCTGAGGGAGCTTCCATTCGACCCAAGATCCTTTGAGTGAAAGCAGAGGAGCGAATACTTTGCATCGTTCTCAGAAAAGTTGAATTAAAGGAAATTAATTTGACTTAAAGATTATTTAAGTCACGTAGAACTAGTTTTTCTGAGCCAATAAGTTGGAAATTACCAAAAAATCCAAAATCTTACCAAGTAGTTTTGGTTTGGCTTCGACTGCAAGTATCTCAATACACTTCAAATCAGACAGAAATATTATTTTAAGTCAATAATCCCTTAATATTGATGAAAATGTTTGAGTTCCCGTGGCAGAATATTTAATTTAGAACATGAAGAAATCGTCTTGTTAAAAGTAAATGTATGTACAAATGGAACTAGAAATGAGTTTTTCATCAATATTAATGAATTATTGACATAAAACGAGCTCCTATTTTTGACACGCCCGGTCAAATTTTATATTTTTGCAGACGTCTCAAACAATCATCATCCGTACAAGAGAATTCAGTTTAAGTTACTGAATCTCTTGTTTCCACAAATATTTTTAGGTTGTCAGTGCACACGCATGCACCCTCACAAGGCTTCTGACTGTGAAATATAGTTTTAGTTTTGAAGCCTTAACAAAAAAGCAGGTAACTCAACAAGTTGCTGAATTAGACATTTTCATGGGACGGCGGCTTTGTAGAGCGAAAAAGGGGTTTCTTCCTTCTTATAAGTTGAATGAACCTGAGCTTCAGATATTTCCCAACGTGCGCCTTTTATCTCCTTGTGTTTCCGTCCGCCTCCCTCCTCCTGTATCTGTCTTATCCTCCGCTGTTTCCTATGATCTCTGCAAATCAGTGTGGCTGAGCCGCGGCAGCACAGACAGCACTGTTGTCTGCCCGCAGCGGCCCTCATGCATAATTCATGACGTTTAGGCTCCCAGTTGACCTGAGTCCAAACAGTCGGCAGCCCACAATACTCGCACAGATAGACCCCAGGAAGAAGATGTTTAACTAAAAATGAAAATAAACTGATTTAAGATTCATCGAGACACTCCTGCGACGCTGTAAACAAAGCGACCGAGATATCATCTTCATCCGACGACTCCTGGAAGACAACAAACGCGTGATTCTCGACGCTCCAGGGACTTTGAAGTTAACGTGGTAATTGCAGGACAGATAACAGAAGTTTATTAGTAAAAAATGGAGACGAATGAAAAGTAAGTCGGCAGAAAAAATGTCAAACTTCCTCCAGACTTTGTGGGAAGAGGAGGCAAACCTTGATGTAAATTGTTTTATCTCCTGGAAGGTTTGTCTGATTGGCAGGCAAAAAAGCAACCTGTTTCGATTCCCCGTGTTCCTCCTCCTCCTCCTACTGCTGGCCTTCGCTTCAAACAAAATGCTCCTCTAATAACTTCACCCAACATCTCTGCAGCTGACTCACAACCGCTTCATTCTTTTTATGGAAGCCGCAGAAATTTGCTACAGCTCTCCAGGTCGGTGCCATTTCTGATCACTTCTTCAAAACATCTCCATTTTTAGCGCGCAGATCCCACTTTAACCAAAACCCACCTCTATCAAACCTGATATTTCAGGAGAGAACAAGCGGCTCCTCCTTCTGTGAGCATTTTTTAAAAAACCGGTCACATGATGGGAGAGCTGCTCATCAGATCATCTGCTTCCTCCATCTGCTCCTGAAACACGGACAGAGAGGTTCAGGTGGCGATCATCTCGAACCAACTGCTGCTCTGTCAGCACCATTTATCGAGTCACATTTATTTTTGGTTTAAGCAATAAAGAAATCAGATAGGAACTTCTCACTAAAAAGATAAGGTTAAGACAGATAATGTAGATGGTTGAATCACGATAAAGCAACGTTACAGTATCAATTATCTTGGAACCATCGTCAGTAGCCTCTATATGGCCTCAACAAAGCGACGGCATCCGCTGCAGGGGAAATGTTATCTGCGACGCCACGAACTGGAAAAGATAAATCCAAACTATATAATCCACCTGAGAGGAAGCAGCAGGCTGCACGGAGTGGCGGCAGCTGATAATCATCATCTGGCGCCTTCCTCAGACCCGAGCCTTGGAGCGGAAACTTCCTTTTTATGGAATCACATCCGTGGTGTTT